AAGTCCGTCTTGTCAGGGCTGCTCTCGATCCCTTCATTCCCCAGCCTGTGTTGGTACTGGTGTTTGCCCTGAGCCAGGTGCAGGATCCTATACTTGGCCTTGTTGAACCACATGAGGTTCATAGTGAAGGCCATGTATGTTAGTGGAGATTGTTACTGCTTTTGTTTTGTTTTTCTCCAGGGTGTTATTGTCATAGTACATTGAGTGTTGTCACTAATATGCAAAGCTGTCCGTGTTTGGGCTATCAAAGTTGTCTACTGCATCAATATTTAAATGTCAGACAGAAGAAACAGAACTTAGACAATTAAACCATTTATACATATTTGATAGGCAGATTTTTTTTTTTAAGTAGGACTGTTTTTCTTCTAGTTTCCCAAAATTAGAAGGGTGTTCAGGTACCGGAAGGGAATGAAACTGTCAAAAACATCAGATTGAAATCAAGACCACAGATCTTGAATGATAAATGCCAACATATAGTTTAGAACACCTGCATTCTTAGTTCTGTTCATTACTTGACAACACTCGCTGTTGCCACAGTGTTCTTGATTGTAAAACCAGAGAAGACAGCATATGTAAGGAATCGGCTCCATAGAGGAAATAAGTATGGAATATAAGAATTGTGATAATGGTAAGTTGACAAACCGAATTTTGTTCATGATGGTATGAAACTAGCTTGACACTTCGCTGATGAATATTCTAAGAGAGAAAGGGGAAAGCTAGAGGTAGTTCTAGCAGTGCAGAATTTGATCTGTGTTGCTCTAGATTTGTTAGTCTTTTACTCTTCTAAATTAAATGAGCAGTGTAGGCTAGCATGTGCTTGTGCATTTGGAACAGATAGATGTCTAATGCCATTCAAAGCTTAAGCGAAATGCAAATATTAGTGTTTATTACCTTGGGCTGTTACAACAGAAAACTGCTTTTACCACTATTTTTAATTAGGACTATTGTCTTTCTCTTCAGAGTTTATCTAAGGTGTCTCTTCCTATGGTTGGAACTAAAATGCACCAGAGACCATTCTCTGGCAGTGAGATTAGTTGGCACAGCACGATTCAAATCCATACCTAAGCACTCTTACTTTCCAAAACAGGATGGCTGCATTTAAGCTGCCGTTGGGGAATGTCCTTTGCCTGTGCTATTCCTCAAGCCTATACCAAGACATAGAAGAGAGGTGGGTTTGCACAGACCAGAACTGTACCAGGAAGCAAGGACATTAAAAGTGGTGATGTGTGCAAGCCAGTGCTGAGGATCCATGCACTAGCCCTGTGTAGTACTACACTGTATAGGTGTAGCCTTTCATATGGAAATGCCATGCGTCAATGTAGTATCTTAATACTTATATCATCTTTAATATAACTATCTGGCAACAGCTCTGTAATAGAGGAGGCTAAGTCCAGAGTTTCTGGGAGGTTATAAGGTTTGGAACAGACAGGTCTCCTAAGACCAACATCCATACCATTGCAGAGGCTTTGGTTTAGCAAATGACTCAGTGTAATAACTCCACTGTGACTTAAATTTGGACTGAATAAATCAATCAAAGAGAAATCAAACTACGAATTTTTAGTCTGATTTCATCTCTGCCGGTCCTTAGTCCAACCTTCTTGTTTATTATTTTTAGAGTCAGCTTAAATCATTTTGTTGTTTATCTGAAGAATAATGTTGTCAAACTAAGTACTCAGGACACTAAATTCCTTGATGTGCTATAAATAATGCACCTATGTGCATTGTGACTCAGTATAAAAATGAAAATTTCACAAGGAAGTTTGTGCTAGACTGTGATATGTCAAATACGTGCCATATTATTAACTGTTACCTATTTAACTTGTTGAGACTTGTACAAAATACTTTTTAAAAAATTATTGGAACAAGCTTTACATAATAACCTTGGTTGACCATGAGTTCAGAAAGCAGAAACTCACTATTGGAATGCGTAAAAAAATAGACTTTCAGGTCTGTGTGAGTTACAGGCTCCCCTTGCTGGAAAATGTGTGTAATGCAGAGAAGCAAGCAATACTCAGGACTGTGAAAACTTTCTGTATTAGCACATTTTTCTGTAAATTCAGTATATGCTGAAACTTTGATAACTAATGCTTTTGAATGTGTTTGGGGGGGTTGTTTTGTTTTTTAAGCAGTTAAACTTATTTTATTTAGAAACTTTTAATTGTAGTTATAACTGCCTTGTGATTAGCCTGCTTTTTTCCTCTTGGTGGAATGTATGTCTCATTCATGAATAGAATTGAATAAGTAATGTTGATATCTACTTTTCAATAACGGTTAGTCTGAAATTGGAAGGAAATAGATCTTGGGACATTCATATTGACTTAGGAAAGCCCTAAACAAAGATAGCTGTGGCCAGACTGAATGAGGTCCATGATAATACTGTGATACTTGCAAAATTGAACATAAATATGAACTAATGCTTTCATAAAGAATCTTTTGAAATGTTGCTGCTGCTAATAAAGCTACAGTGGAACTGAAGTACCATTTAAATATGGTATTACTCTTTAAGCATGGTTTTATCTAGGTATTTCATCTGTGAGAGGCAGCGAAGCTCAATTATTATACAATGAACTATTTCTAAAATGAAAGCCTTAGAAATTGCAACTACAGTTTTTAATAAATGTGATAAGATATTTTTATTTCACCTTTTAAAAATTTAGGAGCAGTCTCCAGTAAATTGTTACAGAGTTGCTAATGAAGGAATTTTAATTCAGTACAATTCTGGAGTTTAATAGAAGTTCTGGTTTCTGCACTTTGAAAAGTTGGGAGTTGATTTTTTTGTTGTTGTTGTAGCTGTCCTAAATGATATGATTTACTATATGATTTATTAAATAACATTTTAGATATTTCTAATTGTTTCATTTTCACCATGTATTAGTGCTTTCATTAGAAACTTACCAGTGTATTAACTAGTTTAAAATTATCTAAATCAGTAGGTAATGCTTTTGAAGTGGCGTAGTGAAATCGGGTATATGGATTGTTATACTTAACAACAGTAGTTACAGCTGTTAACAGCTGGAGAAGGGAACTGAACTGCACTTAGTATCTGTAGTTCTGTCCTGCGTGTTCTTTCTGGGACGTTCTCCCAGTCTGCCACTTTCTGATGACATTAAAAAGGATCAAGCTTACTAACATAAAACTGTAATATTTAGGTGTTCTATATGAAAGCAGTTTTGTTTAACAAATAGCCTTTAATATGGTATTTCCTAAAATTACTGATTTAACAGCAGTGTAGCAAATTTCAGTTGCCTGTGAAAAGTTAAAACTATGACTGTGCGAGTCAAGTAGTGGAAGGAAGCAAGTTTAGTAACTGGCCATAGTTCATTCTGTCTTGATGCCTCAGGTAAGTAAACTAAGGATACACAAGGAGTTTGTTGCCTTAAGCTCTTTTTTTACTAAATAAGGGAAAGAACTACTGCCTGCTGGCTGAACTGCGGTAGGCGGTGACTGTCTGTCCCTTTGGCTAGAGAAGTAGCTTAGATTATTAATTTTGTTACTTAACCAACCTGCTTACAGTTAGGTGAGGTTCCTGGTGGCTAGACTTGTCTGAGGTTTCAAAGTATTTCTCGTACAGAAACTTTGTCTTCTTTATCTGAGCCCTAGATGTCAGAGGGTACAGTTTTGTATGTTGGCCCTGAACTGATTTGGGGGCTTCATTAAACACTGAACATTACTTTTGGTCAGAATGTAGATGAAATTTCCTTCTACCAGGAATTCATTTTTTTTAATTTGTTAGATATTTTTTTGTATTTAATTTGTTTGATATTTTTAAAATTCAGCCTATTACCCAAATCACAACCTAAATAAAATGACTGATGTGCCACATTTTTTAATGGAACATCAGAATTACACCCATGGATACCTTTTCTACAGTTGAGCGTAATTCAACATTTTTCATTCGTCTAGTAGGTGCTATTGGCAATTCATACACTTCCAGTTTTCTGATGTGCATTTTAGAAACAAAAGGCTCCTCTCTTCTGTGCTGTTACTTATCGACCTAGGAATTATCCTCTCTTTCTTTAATGGCCTTAAATTAACAAAATTGAGACTGAGCAGTAACTGTATGTAAAAACTGAGGTTTCTAGGCATTGTACTTTCCACCCAATTAATTGGTACTTCGGGCCTCATGTTGCCTTCAGGAGGACAGAGGTGGGAAAGTAATAATACAAAATGCTTCTTTCTTTTAATCAGTATAATTTTCCATAAATGAAGTTGGTCTATAATTTGAGTGGCAAACAGGTGACAGTTGCATTTTGAACATGCATCTTGTTCTTCAGAACCATTCAAGACAGTCATTGATCACAAAACAAGGAAGCGTAGAGTTGCATATACGCAGAGATTTCATGTAATTATTTCAAGGAACTATGTGTGGGCAAAGTGATACAGTTGACAGAACTTGGATTGGTGGGAGGGAGTACTGTGAAGAGTTTGTGCAATGCTACGTTTGCAATACGACTTTTTAATGTAGGCAGATTTACTGACTGGCGAAGTCCGCATACAGTAGTCTCTGCTCGGCGGCGGTTTTTTTTAGTATAACATTACCTAGTGTGCAGTATGTCCTGTGTTGGAAGATTCTTGTTACAGCTTGTCACACAATTCAGCAGGTTGTAGGGAGAGGGTTCTACTTAATAAGTTATACTTAAGAAGTGTTTCCTGCCATGTTAGATACAAAGTTTTGTACAGATCAGAATCGCGAAGGGATTCTCACATCAGGGACACTGCTGGGCTTTAATCATCTGACAAAACTTGTCTGCTGAGATTAGATTTTTGTTGAAAAGTTATCCATTCTGTTGATGGTGAACGATGCTGTTCAGAGCAACATCTGGAAGATATCCATTTATGATTGTAATCCAAGATGAAATTTTTCTGTCTTCCTGAGGACAGAGAAATTTTCTAACAGTTTTTGCTGGAGGCAGTGCCTAAGGATTTTGCTTCATTTAGAAATTAATAAATCAAAGTGTTTGGTTTTTAAACTAAAATCTGTCTTTTTTTAAAAATCATAGTGTTCTTAAGACCACAAAGAAATTTGGAGTCAATAGACCCACAATTTACAATTCGAAGGAAAATGGAGCAGATGAGAGAAGAGAGAGAGCTTGTGGAACAGCTACGTGAGGTATGTGTTGGTAGAATTAATTTGTGCTAATGGAATGTATTTTTTTTATTATTTAAAAAACAAAAAATTCTTTGGGAAAATTGTCTTAGGAGAATATTAAAAAGGTTAAATGAGGAAGTATTACTTCTGCAAATCACATTGATGAGACCGTTCCTGAAGTGCTTTATCACAGTCAGATGTCTGTACTTCAGGAAGGGTTTTGTAAAAATGGGAAATAATAATGGGAGCTACCTGAATGAAATACAGTTAAACAGCGTGTCTTTCACTGGTGGAATTAAGAATTTATTTCATCAGAAAGGATAAAGTGATCACTTAAGAGGAGGAAAGGTCTAGAAACTATTTTCCTAACACCTGGAGAAATTTTCAGTGTAGCAAGTAAAAGTTGTAATGAAATCTATTAGTTAAAGCTGGTTAGAAACTTCTTTTTTAAGGCACATAACTAATGCTTGAATTTAGAAATGAAATTAGTATTTCATCACTTGAAGATCTGAATATACAAGATGGTTACCTGATGTATTATCTTGAATATAGAAGCTAGAGCCTGATGCAAAAATTGCTGCATGTGGTTGCATAGGGTCTGTGTTACACAGCTAATACCTAGGTAGTGCTGTTTGTGTGACACCTATCTGTGCCCGGAAAAAAAAGAAAAAAAGAAAAAAGATGACAGTCTTTGCTACAAGGAATGTTGTGAGCCTGAACCTCAAGGTTTCCAGTTATGTTATGTTACCAACAGAAGAGATGGTATTGTTGCACTCCTAAGCACAGTGCAAATCCTGAAAGCGCGGTAGGTATCACAACTTAATTACAAGATTATTTGTTCTTATGTCATTAGCTTCATGGAATGACTAATTCAAAAATTATTCATTTATTTTAAATAACATATCTTGTATTATTTAATTTTAAAGCAAGACGGTTCACTTTTTTCTCCTTACCAAATAGTGTTTAAATGGCAGGTTGTTTAACAGAACTACAAGGACTTCTAGATCTCCATTCTCTTACCTCAGGCCCTCACCTGCTTTAAGTCTGGATTAATCTTACTTCGTCTTGGTGAATTTTTGAACAGAACGGATCTTGCTGAAGAGTCAGCATAGCTAATTGAATGTAATACATTACCAATTCTAAATTTGGATGGTGCTAAAAGGACAAGATGCAGGAATTAGATGAGACAGACTTATTGGTAATAGAGAAGAAAATGGAAGTAATAATGCAGTAACAAACTGCAGCAGGATGTAGTTCTTCTGAGCATAGTCTAGTCAGCAGCGTCAATGTAACTTTTTATGTTTCTTTTAAGAGTTACCACATGTAGCAAGTCCCCAAGTAATTGTTCCTGAAAATAATGTACTTAAGGCTCCTGCCTTGTGCTTTAGTTCAGCTAATCCTCACAGTGAAAAGAGAACAAGGTTACTCACCAGATCAGGCATGATAATGGCGACTTAATAAGGATCTCTTTACACTGTATTAGTATTAGGTATTACCAGTAATATTGGTTTAATGTGTTATTGACCTTCAGCTCCATGCAGTATCCTTTGCCCCCAACCTGAAGCATTGTGTCCTGAAATTGAAGTTCTCTTGTCCCTTGTGAGGAGTTTGATTACAGGTCAAGGTGTGGTGACAGAAGCTAGAAGATTGGCCCTATTTGGAAGCACATAGTGAGATTTTTCAAATTAATGAAATTTACTCTGGTATACTGGGTCCCTTAGTAAGTACTGTACAAGAAGATAGCCCAGAACATGTAAATCAAGTTCATATTTATTGAATAAACATATCTGTTAGTATAGTTTGCTCTTGAATCATTTCATGGTACATTAGAATTTAGTGAGACTCCACAGAACCTGCAGCGTTAACCAAGCTGGGCCCTAAACAAGAAGGAACAACTATTACAGTACTCCGGTTCCTTATTTAGAAACCTAAATGAACAGTTACCTTGAGCTCAACCGCTTCACCTGAGCCATATATTGTAAGAACACTGGTGTTTCTTACAAACATTCCCCCCTTTTCTTTAGAATGGTGTGTTTTTACAGAAGTTGTTACATTTCATAAGACTCTTTCTTCAGAGACATACTTGATTTTCCTCCATTTGAGCCATTTGATTTTGTATACATCCACAGTCACTTAAGAGAGTTGTCATTTCAAGAGTGATTTGCTACTTAGTCTTGAGCAATGGTCTAGCAAGAAATACTGGTTGATTTTTGTCACTCAAAGGGTAAACTTTCAAAAGTTTTGACATGCTAAGTGGAACAAATTGTCTGCTGCTGTGGATGATTTTGATGATGGATGATTTTGAACAAGAGAACAGTTCTTCAGTGGAGACAAAATTGAAAAAGAATTGATCCACTTCTTGAAGTCTTCAATTTCAATTAAATCTAATCTCAAACCATGAACTGGCACTGAAATAGTGTTGTAAGTGTGCTGTGCTCATTAAAAAAAAAAAAAAAAGCACCCTGATCTATACTGAGAAGTCTCCCAACAGGCAAATCAATTTTTTAAGAGAAGCAATTTTTAATTCATTAACTTATATAAACCTGTTTGTAACAGATTTGGGAAAAAAGTCTCAAAATACACTCTTT